TAAGAAATGCCGTTCTTGTTTTATTAGCTATCTCCTATTCTGAAGCTTTCGTTCTTTCTATTATTTGCTTTAACTCATCTTGTTGTCAAAAAGGGAAAAGGAATTAAAGGAATCCCCTCTAGGTATGTTTTCTGACATGGCTTGTTGTGCTGCAGTCAGCCTACTATCATTCTGGTGGGTGGCGGATAAATCCGAATCTATACGAGGAAGGAAAAGTGTGTCTTAGCCTTTTAAACACTTGGACTGGCAGAGGAAACGAAGTCTGGGATCCAAAGTCATCAAGCATACTTCAAGTTCTAGTTTCACTCCAGGGATTGGTGCTCAATTCTAAGCCATACTTTAATGAAGCTGGGTATGATAAACAAATTGGGACAGCTGAAGGGGAGAAAAATTCACTGTCATACAACGAAAATACTTTCTTATTGAACTGCAAGACGATGATGTATCTCATGCGGAAATCCCCAAAGGTGATCTGTCAAATCCTGTTGTTCCTCATTTTTGTACACATGCACACAGGAGTAGACAGAATATAAAAATCGCGGTTTAGTTTTATCTTCTTCTTAAAATGTAAAAAACTGAGTTTAAGTGTTCCTTTAAGACTGATTTGCGAAACACTTGATGCTTCTGTTGCATAGTTTGATCTTGTAGATTTCTCGGTTTTCGTCAATGGCAGTATTTTCTGGCCGGTTTTGGTAATTTGTTTCCATGTTGGTTTGCATGTGTAGGACTTTGAAGATCTTGTCAAAGAGCACTTTAGGAGGCGTGGTCACTACATTCTCAAGGCTTGTGATGCATATATGAACGGCTACTTGATAGGCTCCCTGGCAAAAGATGCCTCTCTGAGTGATAGAAGTGAAGCAAATTCAACATCAGTTGGTTTCAAGTTGATGTTAGCTAAGATTGTGCCTAAGCTTTTCTCGGCTCTATGTGAGGTTGGAGCTGACTGTGGTGAATTTGAACACCTGCAACACTCATAATAATGGTTTTGAAGGGCCAAATTGCTCGAGTCTTTGTCCATCAAGCTAACAAGGTCACTCTCTATACGGCGGCTCAAAGTTGTTTTCTCGGGTTTATGGAGGAGAAAAAAAAGGGGCCTTTTCTCGAGATGTTCATCAATGTGAACTGTAAAGCCTGTTGGTGTTTTATGAATTCTTTTCATTCATTTAATTTGTGATCAACAAACAAAACAAAACAAAACAAGAACGTTCTTGTGTTTTCTCTGAAACCCTTATCCATTTTAAGCAGCTGGGTTTCTTAAAGCGAAATATGTGGTCTGCCGTGTTCTCAAAATTTTAGTTAATGCGACAGATTGGGGATGAGTAGATCTTTGTATTTTTTAACTAGTTGTCATGTCTTTTTCCATTTTCTTTTGGGTGGTATTATTACCTGGATGAAAAAACAAACCGAGTTTTGCAACCGATTGTTTTTGTTTTAGTTTGCCATGAAATTAAGTTGAAAGTTCATATTATATATATACGTATTATTTTTTCATTTTCTTTCTTTCTTTATTTATTTGCTGGTCACATTCTTTTAGTCTTCATTTGGCCAATTTCCTTTTATGTCTCGTCGTATATTCGTTATCCTTTTTTTTTTTTTTTTTACTAGAAAATGTTCATTAGCTTATTTATTTATGACAAGTTATGTGTACTATCACTGGCCGAGAGTTTTAAAAATGATAAGAATCAAGCACATGTTCATCATTGGATAACTATCTTGTCCACTGTGATTCTAAGCCTTTAGTGAACAGATACTTAACCACTTATAATTATAGAGATTGTAGTAAAAATTTTAGACTTAAACTTTCTGATATGCAGAATCCTTTACTATAGGTAAGCACAGAGTATACTAGTCAAGATGAAAACTATTATAACATAGAGGAAAAAACTTATTATTTCAGAGAAGAAGAATAATGATTTAAAAACTCATTATAGAGAGAATATTATTTTATGATAAATGTGTACAAGTTTTTTTGACCTTTATCAGGCTGAGAGCTTCACCTTTTATAGTTGAAACTTGGTTATAATCTTCTTACAAGATAAGATTCTCATCTAAAAAATGACAGACACCACTATTCTACTTTTGACATTTCTTACAAAGGGACGAACTAATTTTTGACATATCTTATAAAATGACTGACGTCACTCTTTTACTTTTGACATTTCTTACCTAGAGAGACAAAACTACTTTTGACAAATTTTACAAAAAGACAACCTTCATTATTTCAGGATAAGGCTTTCACGTACGCATGTCTTGTTAGGTGTATGCCAGCTGGAGAAGACTGAGTCTTATCGACTGTTTTGGTCAGGAGATAAGTTAAAATTGTACTAATCTAATGAGTCAGAATTCACTGAACCATAAAGATGATAGTACCAAGGCTTTTATCGTTTATTGAGTTATGAGTCTTCTTCTGAGTCCTGAGAATCAAGAATAGTAATAGATAAAAATAGCCTAATTAGTTCTAAGAGAGGGGATAGTTTCTAGATTGTATTTATGTGTGGGTTTCCTCTCTTACTCTTCTTCATTCTTTACTTCATAGGGTATTGCCTAAAAGAAAAGAAGAAAAAAAAAAAAAAAAAAGAAACCTGATTAAATAACAAAAATGTCAATTCATCCAAATTATCAAAAAAAGAAAAGTTATTCATCCATGGTGGGCAATCGTAATGTTAGTGTAATTTAAATGTTGGTGTAATATTTATTTTGTTTATGTATAACTCTAAATAAACTATAAAGTAGTTTATCATTATATTCAATCAAACTTGCTTCAATATTATGATATTACATCAAAAAGTTACGTCTTTATGAAAGTTATATTTACCGTTATCATACAACTGTCAAACTTAAAATTTTCTCTCTCTCTATATATATATATATTATTCTTATATATACATATATACTATCATAGTACTTTTCTACATCTCTAACGGATATAATATACACACACACACACAAATTGAATAACTCGATTAGTATAAAAGTAAATTTTAAGTTTTCTGATACAAATTGTGTCAAAAATGTGTTCGACACACATTAATTACAAGTTTTATTCTATTAACCTCGATTAGGGTAGGTAGAGGTAGATAAAGCGTTGTTGTACTTTTTACTGCGCAGTATTAGGGCCGGCAATTTCGGACACGACACGATGAAACGACACGAAAACGACACGAGATAAATGAGTTTAGACCGCACGATTATTAATTGGATCGTTAACGGGCCGGTACGAATAACACAAAAATAAACGGGTTGGATTCGTGCCAGCCCGTTTAACACGCTTAACCCGTTTAGTTATACGGGCCGTAATAGGGCCGACACGACACGACCCGAACCGACCCGTTTATTAATCCATATATATATATTTATATTTTTTTAAGATAAAACCCTAGCTTCTCTCATTCTCTCATTCTCTCTCATTCTCTCACAGCCCGTTTTATTTATATTCTCTTGTTTGCATGAATGGTGTTTGATAAAAGGGTTAACTTAATTTAACACTCTAACTTTTAAATAAGTTATGGCATGTTGATAAAATTACAAAATGCTAATGGATTTGTAGATGGATGATTTGTAGATGGACTTGTAGATGGTTGATTACAAAATGCCAATGGATGATTTGTAATGGATAAACCTAAACGTTAAATATGTTTTATGCTTTATGCACTTAAATATGCCAATGGACTTATAGATGGTTGATTATATTTTATGCAGTTAAATTTTCAAATATTTTGTTATGTTTTTAAACTTATTTAAATGTACTTGGTTATGTTTTCAAACTTCTTTAGATGTTTAGTAATTGGTATGTTTTGAAACATATGTCATAAGTGATGTTTTAGATATTTTAATGTGTGTTGGCTATTATGCATGAATTTAACTATAAGTGATATTAAGTAGTCAATTAATATAGTTTTGAATACAATATAAAATTCACTATTTTTGCTAGTTGGGTCATAAACAGGTCATAAACGTGTTTTGTTCGTGTCGGTCCGTCACGGCACGTTTAATAATCGTGTTCGCGTGTCATGTCGTGTTAACCGTGTTATTAGCGTGTCGTGTTCGTGTTTAGGTTTTTAATACGTTTATTAATCGTGTCGTGTTCGTACTCACTATAATCGTGTCGTGTCGGCCCGAACACGGCCCGTGAACACGAATTGTCAGCCCTAATATTAGGGCATAAATATTACATTTAAACACATGTAAACACACAATATAGCACCCTCTGAACCTATTATCTTACTTAAACATCTTTTGATAGTAACCATTTCAAATAGTATTGTCTTATACGCACCATAAATAAAATTTTCTTTAATTTCTTCTCACTAGAGATAATTTTAAATATTAATGAAAAACAAAACAAATAAGTAAAATTTTCAAAATTTAGGAATTTTCAAAATCTTGGCTTTGTTTAAATTTAGAAATTTTTTACTTGCAAAAATCATTCTATTCAAATTTTAGTAATTTAATGTTTAAAGTAATACTTTTAACGTATATATACTCTTTTTGAAAATTTTCCTCCACCCACTTTCACCTTTTCTTTAAAATTTAAGTGCTTCCGTAAGTAACAATTAGTATATTTAAGGTCCGTTTAATTTGTTAATTTGAGTTTTTAATTTGAATTGATATATGACTTTATGTGAAATTTTTTTACTATAGTAAAAAAGTTAAATGTGACTGTTTCTGAAAATTTTTTACTATAACAAACTCGAATCGGTAAAATGAACGGAACCTTAGATATATATATATATTAATAAATTTATCTAGTAGTTAAAATTTTATAAAAATTATTAGCAATAAGTATGAAAATAGCTAAGAAACTTTCCATGTTTTATTTTAATATTTTTAATTAATTAGTTACCTAGTTCTAATTAAACTATTAAATATTCATTTTTTCAAATAACCCCATTAAAAATTTAATATTTAGTCATAAAAAATTCAACTACTTAAATAGCGAATCAGAATATATATTCTTTTTCTTTTTTAATTTTTAACTTTTTTTTTTTTTTACAGATATCAGAGAACTATAACCAAAGCGAAAATTTGGTAAAGGCAGAAGCTTTAAGGAAGCGAGAATGCAGAAGAAGGCGGAGGAGCCCTTCCGAACCGTCATTGAGAATGGCTTCAAGAACAGACACCGCTCAATGTTCGTTATGCTCGGCGACAAGCATCCCCAGTAGGATCAGGTTCTTTCCTCTCTGCAATTTTTATACATTTTGAAAAGTTGATAATTTGTCACTTCTCTTGAATCCTTGAAACCTCGGGATTATAAAAGACGTCTTTTTGCAAAAATAATAATATTTCATGCCTTATTTATTTTAAGTTGGGGTGGAGTATTTGAACTCAACACAAATACCATGTAATTATTTTTATATTTTAGTTTCGTTTATTTTATCGATTTGAGTTTAAAATTCAAATTTTATTATAGTAAAAAGTTTTAAAAAATAGTCACATCTAATTTTTTTATTACAGTAAAAAATTTTCACATAAAATCACATCTGAATTCAAATTAAAAATTCGAATCAGCGAACTAAACGGACCATTTGAGTTAAACCCACTTATAAGGTGTTCAAAAAATCCATCAAACTGCTAAAATCGCTCACTCCAAATCAAACTGAATTAAATTATTAATTAATTTTAAATTATTGAAGAGTTTGGTCGATTTTTTAACTAATTTTTTGGATGGTTTAGTTTGTAGTTTGGACTTCTCAAACTGCCCAAACTACAAATTAAGTTTTCGTTCGTTTTGTGGATTTAAATTTTCAATTTGAGTTAAGATGTGACATTTTCTAAGAGTTTTTAACTGTAGTAGAAAAAATTAAATGTGACATTTTCTGATAACTATTAACTATAGAAATTTAAAACTAAAAACTCGAATCGATGAAATAAACGAGACCTAAATTGGTACAATAATAATAATATTATTATTATGATTATTAACTTGGGCGGTTTGATTTGGTTTGGTTTGGTTTGGTTTGTGGTATGTGGTTTGTGGAAGGTGGTGGAATAATATTATTATCATTGACTTGTTCATTATCCTCACTAATCAGCTTGGACACAATGGTCATGGTATTGAATATAAACCCAGCTCTGCTGTGTTGATTACTTATTTTGGCTTTTATGTGCTAGTTAGAGGGTACTCTATTTAATTTTTTTTTTAAATCATTATTTCAGTGAAGAGTTAATGCTTGGCTATATTATTAACTCATCAACAATCATGACATAAGTTGCTATTATCAAAACACGAATCTGAGAAAGGTTGATTTCAGGATGTTCATGAGAAATTTCGGATAGTCTCAGGAGGCAGCTGGACTATTGGATAAGCGTTTGTCGTTATCACTCGCGTCATGTAAATCGTGTGTAGGCACGGATGATGAACTGAAGCCTCGTCTAGTTCATTGGTAAATTTTTAATTCGAGTTGAGATGTGATTTTATATGAGAGCCTTTTATTATAATAAAAAAAATTAAATGTGATTTTTTATGAAAACTTTTAACTGTAGTAAAATTAGAATTGAAAACTTAAATTGGTAAAATAAATGAGGCTTGAGTATTTTGCAAAGTTCCTGTCATATTAAGTGAACAAAGCTGGTTCCCGCTAAAGAAGTAAAAACTTTTGGCTTCTTGTTTCTTCAGTTGGAAGGAATTCGATTCCTTCTGAAAATGCTGTACTTTTCTGATTCACTTTATAACCAAATATGGGCCTTTACCAGAGCCATGTGTAAATGTTTTCTTTTGTGCCCGAATCGGCCATTCGAGGAATCGGAAAGGTTAGCAGAGGCAGAGCAGGACCTAAAAGAATCTGAAAGAACAACTGAGTGATGATTTTTCAGTTAGCCCTTTAATAAATAAGTTGATGGGGAATAAATATAGAAAATAAAATAGATTATTATCTTATATATGTATCTGTTTTAGTTTTACTTTAAAATAATTAAATTGAAGTTGTTTCTTTTTATATATTAACATTGATTTGTATCTCCCCTCATAGGAGAGACTTTTAAGTGTAAAAGTGTTTCTGGCTTTAGTTATAGCATGTTGGAAATCCAACGAATGCTCTGAAATATTGTATGTTATTAGAATCCCACATTGGTTGGAGATATTGGCATGAGTCACTTAATAAGGTGAGGGCAATCTTCCCTTAGTAAACCGGTTTTGTTAGGTTGAGTTAGACTTAATATTTTTTTATTTCTGTAAAATGGTATTAAAGAAATTCTCTGCTCCGCTATCTCCTTTCAGCCTTTTTTATTTGTTTTTTTCCTTTCTAGTCTGATGGCCAAGGGAAACAACCAGAATGCTAATCGTCAGGTCGTATATTCTTCCAATTCGTCAGCCATGGAAGATACTGGGAACCCTTTTTATCTGCATAATGGTGACCATCCATGACTGGTTCTAGTATCAAAGCATGCACAGTTTTGCAATGTTGGGTCTCCCGATATCGACTTATTCGCAGTGATTTGGCATGGACGTATTAGAATCCCACATTGACTGGAGATATTGGCACGATCCACTTAATAAGGTGAGGACAATCCTATCTTAGCAAACAGGCTTTGTTAAGTTGAGTTAGGCCCAATATCCTTTAATTTCTGTTTAATATGTGCTGGTTGATTATGCAGCTGCTTATTTTTCTGCCACATCCTTGCAGTACATAGAACCGCGTGAGCATGAAAAGCTTTCCCAAGTTGAATTGTTGGTTGTTGATGAGGCAGCTGCTATTCCGTTGCCAGCGGTGTGGTCACTGCTTGGTCCTTATCTGGTCTTCCGTTTATCTACTGTTAATGGTATGAATTCAATAAATATAATGCGTCTTTATGGGTCTAAAGTAGTCCTCCATTCACCTTTCCTGAAAAGATTTCTTTCATGCACTCTAAAAACTATTTGATTATGGTAGTCCCATTTGTATGTTCCCTTGTTTCGTTTTGGTTTAGTTTCCTATTTTGGTATTTGGTTTTGCCTATAAGTTCGGTAGTTTGTAAATTTAAGAGAGAATGATTTATGAATGAATGAATATTGAGATTCGTGGTTTTCCTCCTCTTTAGTTCTCTTTTCTCTCTTTGTGGTTCTATTTCTGCCTCTCTAATGGTTCATCTTCTCTGTTTTGGTTTTGTTCTTCTATCTGCATTCTCTTCTATCTTGGTCCACATCACTATCTTTGTCAGGCTTCATGATGACTTTCTTTAAACGTTCTTTAATTTGAAAGCAATCTAGAAACTGAAGTATGGTTTTGTTTTTCCCCCTAAAGCTATGAAGGTGCGGGTCAAATTTTGTCCCTTAAGCTTATTCAGCGATCGGAACGACAAAGCCAGACATCTGCTCATAGCTTGGACGGTCCAACTTCTGGTATTTTATGCTTCACTTTTATTTCATCATCATTATTTTTACGTTAAAATTAAATCAACAAAATTATGGAGAACTTCTATTAAAGAATATTTTGATAAGAACTTCTATTAGAAAATACGCAGCAAGGAAAGAACAGCTAGGCTACGTCATTTATAACATGCAATAAGTTCTTGCCTAATTCTTTGATTTCAAAATATTTATATGATGCTTTAATATGTATATGTAAAAAAGTAGATGACAATTTTTGTTTCTGTTGAACTCAGAAAAATTGGCTCGATGCCGGTACGATTTACCAAAGGAGTTGTGGGTGGAAATCATGACAAGGTTACCTGTTTATGCTCAATTACGCTGTAAAAGCGTTCAGAAGTCGTGGAATCGTCATATCAACACTCTGATTCGTGACAAAACATTTGTGGCCAAACATCTCAAGAATTCCATTGATAGACCATCCTTATTTATCGTAAGCCACCACCACCTCCCCTCCTCGGAAATAGGTGAATTCGCCTTTGCAACGATCTGCAATACAAACGACGACAATTGTGACAACAGTGACCACATTGATACTGTTATTGAAAATTTCGATATATTGTCAGCAACATGTGATCCCTTTTCCAGGCTCTCATTGTAATGGCATCATCTGCTTGCGTGGCTACAGCCAAAACTATATCATGTTGTTCAATCCGGCTCTCAGGGAGTTCAAGCTTATGAAAAATTCGTGTTTTGGCCTTTGGGATAGACTCAAGCAAAGAATATTGGTAGGAATTGGTCACGACTTAAATGGTGATGTTTACAAAGTAGTTCGGGTTTTTTACGGACGTGGGCACTTTGTTGGAGGGGAAATACACACACTAGGTATTGATAATCATGACTCATGGAGAGAGGTCAACAAAGAAGAACGATTTTGCAAAGCCATTGCTCCAGGTGTGATGAACCAACAGTTAGAGCACAAAGGAATCATTGATTGGTTAGCAAGGGGAGGCCGCCCTCAGGAGTGGGATTCTTTTGTTTGATGTGCATGATGAGAAATTTCAAACCATACCATTGCCAGCTGATGATGATGATGAATTTTCTACTACTGAAGCATGTTTACAAAGGACGTACAAGCTTTGCTTTGTGGAACGGATTTGTTGCTTTGTTCAAGTTCTAGCGTTGGATATGTTGTTGTGGTAAAAGATCCACATGTTCGCCTCAAAAACCCATTGAAATGTGGGTAATGCATGGGTTCTTCAAGGACCAAACATCTAACGATTCATCACCTTCAACGAACATATCGGCCATTTGTATTTTGGATTAATGATGAGCTCATTCTTGTGAGTTACACTGACTTGACCGATCTCTCTTATAGAGTCTTCGCGGAATGCCGGAAAGGTTTAAACGACATTTGTTCTTTCGCTCATATGGCGAGTCTGGTTTCAGTTAATTAGTTAGTTGTTAATTTTCATTTTGTGAAAAAGAACTTGATTGATGTCCATATTGGAGTTCCAATACTACCTATTTAAATTAAAGCCCGATGGAGTAGCCGTTTTCTTTCTTGTCTTAGTCCTGAATTTGTATATTTAAGTTTTTTATTATAATGTTTTCTCTTATGAAAATTCACATTCAATGTTTTTTTTTCACATAAAACTTGAACCAGTAAAACAAAGGAGGCTTAAATTTCACAATGAAGGTCTTTGATCCAAGTAATTGTGCTAATACAAACTAAAAAGAAAGAAAGAAAGAAAAAGAAAGAGGAGGAAGAGGAGAAAAGGAAAAGAGGGAAAAGAAAAGGAAAAGTGAAAAAAAAAAATAGAGTTCCTATCTTAACCGAACCTCAGTGGAAAATGCTTATAGCCTCTGTTTGAATTGGCTTAAAAAAAATTATTTTTGACTTATTTAGTCCAAAAGTCCTTTTTGAACATGTTTAGATTATAATTTTAAAATATTTTTAATTTTTTTAAATACTTTTAGAATAAGTCATTTCCTTGATACGTATGAAAAAAGTAGGGTTGACAATATGGATCACGATACGACTAAAAAATAATACGAATTTAACGGGTTAACGTTGAGAAAAAAAATATTCAGATCAGAATTGGATTGACATGAAATTGACATTTTATTTTTGACTTATTTAGTCCAAAAGTCTTTTTTGAACATGTTTAGATTATAATTTTAAAATATTTTTAATTTTTTTAAATACTTTTAGAATAAGTCATTTCCTTGATATGTATGAAAAAAGTAGGGTTGACAATATGGGTCACGATACGACTAAAAAATGATACGAATTTAACGGGTTAAGGTTGAGAAAAAAAATATTCAGATCAGAATTGGATTGACATGAAATTGACACGAAAAACATGAGTCAATTTCGGGTTGGACCCGCCTAATCCGAACACGACATGAAACTCGTAAAAAACTAAAAAATACATATATTTTTCATTTCATATTTTAAATTTTATTATGAACTTGTGATATCATGATAGTTATACTCAAAATCTTATACTATTATTTGCTTAATTTCAATGGATATTATTGTAATTTAGTGTGTTATGAATTTTAAGTTATTTCTAATATGTAAAAAACTAAATAAAAGTATACAATTTTTGTGTCAATTTCGGATTCACGGGTCAATTTCGTGTCACGGGTCATTTTCGGGTCGTACCCTGTCAACTCGTAAAGTGGTCGTGTCGTGTTCGTGTTGCGGTTTTTAAAAAATTTCGTGTCACGGGTCGTATTCGGGTTGACTGCAAATTTAAAAAGAAACGATCAAAACACGACACGTGACACGAATTGTCACCCTTAAAAAAAATACTTATGAATAGCTTTTTTATTTACATTGTTAACCTTTTATTTGTAAACAACAAATCATATTCTTTTATTACATTAGTTTTTATAACAATAAGTGTTTTTGACTTTTTTACCCAAACAAGTTTAAAAGCTCTTCTTAGATATAAAAATATTTTTTCAAGTACTATCCAAACATTAATTAAAAGACCTCAACTTATACTTATCTTCTTTTACTACTTAAAAGTACAAACACAAACTATCATAAACGGCCCATAGTTATAAACTTTTCTCTTTCTATTTCTTTTTCTTTTTCTTTTTCTTTTACCAAAAACAAGAAATTAACTAAATAGATTTAAAGAATCATTATCTGTAGAGTCACATAAATATATGTATCTTTGGTGTGAAGTTTCTTCTACCATGATTTTGGAAACTTTTGTTTAATAGCCGGTTACATTCTTTAATGCTTGAAAGAGAGAAACTCCATGAGAAAAATCATCATTAACAAAATGAAACATCACCTTCATTCTGTACCATCTTTGAAATGGTCCAAACCCAGTTGTTGGTAGAGTAGGCCATGCCGAAAAAGACCAAACTTGATCAGAACGGTTCAAACCATTATAAAAACAATTGGGGTATTGTTTAAGATTTTGGGCATTTCCAATTTGGGAACTTTTCTCGTAGACTCTGAAAAATAGACCACCAAAAAGATAGATGTATATCATAAATTGTCTGTTTTACATACTTATTAAATTTAATGTGATTTTAATCAGATGCGAGAAACTAACTTTAATGGTAAGGAGACCCTACTAAGAAAGATCATATCAATTTATTTATTCTTCAACAACTAGTTTTATTTTGTTTGAGCCTTGAGGCCTCAAGAGTCACAATCATAATTTTGTGTCCATTACACATGAATGATGTTGTTTTTTTTTTTTTTTTTTTTTTTTTTTTTTTTTTTTAAAACCCTTTTTTCTTTTTTTTTTTTTTTTTCATTTTTTAGTTAACACGCTTGTCTGACTAAACTTTATAATTACTAAAACCAATCTGATTTCAATGATTTGTACCTTGTTGGGACAAGTCTTCTTAGTGACAATGAAACAATCTTCTCCAACCCAACAGAGTTTATTTAAGAAGATATTAAATAAAGTCAATGCTTTATCATGTTAGTTCACCTTTTTATGATTGGGGGTTCTGCTTCACAATCAAATCTCATCAGAAAAACAAAAACCGTCTTTTGCTACATTATTTTCCAGTCCTTGAAGTAATGAGAGAAGGCAAATTCTTCAACCGCTTAGGCTTCTTTTTTATCATCGCAGTCTTCACTTTGTTTCTAAATGAGGCAATCTCTGAAGAGTACATTGTTGGTGATGATGAGGAGTGGAACAGCCAGGCCAACTTCTTATCTTGGTCAGAGAAATACAATTTTAGTGTTGGAGATGTTCTTGGTATGATCTCTTTGATCTAATCCTAGACTTTTTTTCCCCCATTACAACCCTTATATATTATCTATCAGAAGAATTAAATCACAAGTTTTTGCCTTTTGGACCAATTGTTTCCTTGTTCTTTGTTCCATTACTTTTTTTTGCCTTTGCCAAATGAGTTTCCCTAGAAAACCTAATGTTTTATTTCAAATTCATCTCATATGTTTTGTAGTTTTCAAATACGTAAAGAAGCAACACAATGTGTATGAAGTAGAGGAAGAAGCGTTTCGATCATGCGATGCAAGTAGCGGTGTGTTGGCAAAGTATGATAGCGGAAACGACCGAGTCAAGCTCACTGAAGCCAAGAAGTACTGGTTTCTATGCAATGTTGATGGGCATTGCCTTGGTGGGATGAGATTTAGAATTGATGTGAAACAATCCAGTACTCCCTCTGATACTACTGATTCCGCCAATGTTTCCCCATCTTCTCAACCAAATGAAATCCCTGCAACCCCACCAACCAGTTCTTCTAGATGCACTTTGTGGAGTGAAAGTTGGAAAACTGTGATTTATGTTATGGCATTTGGGATGTTGTTCAATCATTTATGGTACGGACATGTAATGATTTTATTATTGTAATACTTGGTGCAGTATAACTTTCTTTCCAGGTCTTTGTAACCCCACTTTTAATCCTTCATTCTTGTTAATTATGGACATTGGTTTAGTGCGTTTGGTTTTTGTGATAATATAGAGAGATGTGTATTGTGTATCTGCTACAGTTTATGTGACACTAATTTGAACGAAGATTTCCAAGAATTTGGAAAGATTCTTTGCATTAACCATTACTTGTCCTTATGGACCAAATAAGAAGAGAAAAACAGGCTGAATGAAAAGTACCTTTTGCCCTTTTCTTTGAGAACAAATAGATTATTAAGTAGACATCCAACTATTAAAAAAACTAGTAGTGAAAGTTCCTCTGCCATTTTGAAGAACCGCAACTTAGTTATGAAATCAATATGTGGGCTGGTGATGGTGATGGGGATGATGTTGATAGTCAATGCTGCTGCCATTTTCTGATGCCTTTGACATCTCAGACAATCCTCTTGATGGATTCCTTGTCAGCTCCAGCAAGTAGTCCCTCAAGTGATCAGCTTGGATTACTGTTTTACTGTCCTTCTGCCACCAAAAAACAATTTTAAGCAACAAGAGGTTTCCTTTGGCTAGTTTCTATCAATATGTGGTTTTTTTTTTTTTCAAAGTCAAGTGTTTCATGTATTTGGACAAATTACAAAAATTCCCCTTGGGACTCTGTAATTAGTATTAACTTGCAGTTGACTTTTCAATGTACAAACGACACCCCCTGAGCTTTAGGGAAAAAAAAATGGAATGACTCATATTGCTATTTTTATTTAGTTTAGGGGGTGTCATTGGCACATAAAGTCCGAGGGGAACTTTTGTAATTTGTCCCATGTATTTTCTGACATAAAATTTATTGTATGAGGAGAACATTACCTCTACTTTGAGGACATTGGAGACAAGGTTTCTGAAGGTGGTTACATTTGCATTGGTCACTTCAAGGGCTAGAGAGTTTAAAGCCTCCATCAATCTCACAAATCTGCCCGGCTTGTGCTCACAGAACACCTTCACAAAGAACTCGTTTCCATCTATCTGTGCCACTTCGACTTGCGGCTAAAAAATAGTCCAACGCCTTATTATTAACTTTAGTTGAAGCTTAAAAGAAAAGGAAAATAGTTAATCCGAAGGTGAAAGATGAGAAGATAAAACAATGTACCTCCATTTGTGGTGCCTTGTCATTAGTAGTATCCAAGTCTTGGTTAGGTTTGGAGACGTTTCCATTGCTTAATGTTTCCAAATGAAAACCGTTGGGAGCTTTATCATGCTCGGATTTAGGGCCAAAGTTGACATCATCTCGACTTAGAATGTCGGATGGGACATTCTTTCTTTTGCCATTAATGACTTTGTCCTTGAGGCCATCGTTGTCCGAGTGCTCTTCAAGCTCGTCTTGGAGCTCTTTTGCTTGCCTTTGCAAGTCCCTCACATACTCCATTGCGTCCCCAAGGATAGAAGCCTTGTCCAACTGTGCATCAACAAAGATCAAAGCCTTAGTTTTTTGGCCGAGATGAAAAATACATAGAGATAGAGGTTGGTGTACCCAGATAACCCGAGCTACATTATGCAGCCCACAAACAACCCAAAGAAAACTGGACCCACCGAGGTAGGACTCGAATTCTTGACTTTTGGATCAGAGGATACAAGCCTTACCGACCCACTAAATTATGTGATGGTGATCAAGAAGTTTGTTTATACAAAGAAGAGGAAGCAAAACCAACGTTAGTAATTACTTAACTCTCTTTTTAAAAGCATTAGATAATTTACCTTAGAAATGTTGGGAACCAAAGATCTAAGAGTGTAGAGCCTCTCATTAAGCTTCTTCCTTCTCTTCCTTTCAGCAATAAGGTTTTTGCACTGAGCCCCTTTTCCTGACTTTCTTCTGTGCTTCCCATCATCCTCATCATCAAGCTGATCACTGCATTCGGAGAGTGAATTCGACTGTCCTCCCTCCGGTTTGCTTAAATCCTTCTCATTGCCATGTTGATCCTTGTTTTCTGCCGTTTCCATGAAGTGCATATGCATGTTTGTTGTGTCACTCATCATGGAAGCCTGCATTGCATCCGTTGAAGAGTCCATTTGCTTATCCGAAAGCAATGGATCGTGTTGACAATCAAAAAAGGCATCGTTCCTTGGTCTGTTTTCCGAGCCATAACTGAATTGCTGCAAGTTCATTGGAGAACTACATACGCGCATTCGATCAGCAGAGATGTCGTACGACAAGTTCTCGAATGCGGCTGTGGGGGAAATATGTGGCTGCAGGTGATTGTTGGGATCCATTTTGTCGACTTCATTGCCTAAATATGACTTTGATGGAATTTCACTCATTGAGTTCATGTTTACACCAAAGCTCGCTTCCATGTTGCTTATGTTAATCAGGGCCTCTTGCTCAAGTGAAATGTTGCATTGAGTCGTGATAAAGTCGATCACATTTTGGTCTTCTGATATCTGTGAAAGAAACTGAAGTTAGTAACCCTGACAGAAAGATAGTTATCATGGGGAGAAAATCATGTTCTTTTAACCACAGAAGAAAATACATTATTTTATGCTGGCTCATATAGGATCATATGTATATATAATCTCTTTTTCAATTATTTCAACTTGAACTAACACGGGTGAAAAAGAAAGTGATTTGAGAACAGAATTTCATACTTGTTTGGTGACAAAAAGCTCTATCAATCCACCTGGCAATGGAATCAAGACCCTAGTCCCAACAGATTCCTAGAAGAGTAGGTAAAAAATAAATAATTATTTAATTAATTAATGCTCACTATGGATTTGCTTTAGAAAATTGGTTTGTGGAATTTGGACTTCTTACTTCAAGAACATGTGAGCATGTGGCACTAGAAGAGTTCAACCAATTGGGTTGGTTTGATATCAAGGTCTGTGCATAAATCCTGCTCATGAACAAATGGTTAGATAAGATTAAGCATTAATATTGAACCAAAAAAAAATTCATACGAAAACCAAAGGAGTAAAGGGTCTAAGCAATACCCAGAGTCTAAAGGCATTGAAGTTGGCAATTGGAAAAGAAGATCACAAGAGTTGGCTTTTGGGTGCTGAAACATGGCGTCCCTGCATGGGAGGACAGGAGAAGAAACTGGGAAAAGAAGTTCTTCATCTCCACCATTTTGTGCATTTTCACTCCCAGAACAGCAACAGTTCATCCACTCAATAAATCTGTAAAAAGAAAAAAAAAATGGAAATCCCAAAAGTCAAACTCAGTTGCACAAACTCACATTTCTATAGATACAGTAGTTTGTTTAATTAACCTTTGGTCTTCACTTAATTTCCAGAGGACACAATAATCCCATCCTTTTGAACCCAAAAGGGGTCTTAGCCTGTCCATCAGACTTTGCATAACGACGTTTTATATCACCTGAAATGATTAAGAAATGTGGAATTTGAAACTTTAACATAATTGAAGAATCAAATACCACTAGTCAAAATCTCTTGTTTGTTTCATAAATTTGAACTACGATTTAAACTTTTTTGCTTATGGTATTTTCTCTTCACAAAAATTTAAATTTCCACTCAAATTTCTCGTTAAATTTATGAACCAAACCGGTCATTTTTTTATTTTTAAGGATTCTCTCAAGACACTCACAAAGTCACAAACACCAAGAGAGAGAGAGACAAGCAGGTAGACAATAAGAGAGTCTCTTGTTGCTTTTAAGACTATATATACACACACATATATATGTATATATATACACACTTTGGCTACTTCTTTTCAATGAACCAAGTAAGAGACAAATATAAACAAGATAGAAGAAGCAAAACACAAAGACAGCAGAAAAAACAAAGGAATGTCTCCATACAAACTTGCTCAGTAGTATCCAATCTCGGCAAATTTCAGAGAAAGAAACAAGAAGAAAAGGCTACTAATACAACTTAGACCATCTTATATATCTCAATTTTTTTTTTTTTTCATCATTCTATATTGGGAGCTTGGTAGCTACTTATATTGGTAGGTGAAACTGCAGCCAAGGCATGAAAGAAGGAGAGATTATTGTAAAAGCTAAATTATATCCAACTTTTCTTGTTAAAGGAAGAAGAGAGCAAATATTTTGGGGAGCAAATTAAAGAAACCATTATTAATATAATAAACAAATATAAGTTAGTTATGATGAAGGTGCATATTGCATGACCTAAGAGTGTGGCGTTTTGTAACCTTAACTAACTTGAAGTTTTTCACTCGCTTGGGATTTGTTTATTCTTTCATGTTTCAACTACTCTATAAATTTTGGACTACAAATAGAAACTATGCGTAATAAAATTGGTAGAGGAAAGAAAAAGAAAAAGAAAAAAAAAAATTCAGGCTTTTGGTTGTTCCCTAAATAGATGAAAAGCTAACAGTTTTAGTAGTAGAAATAAAGCCTGAAATCATTGCCCAAATATTATTCTGACGCTTTTTTAGTTGCGGATGAATAAGTCATACTAGCTGCTACTATTGTCATCCTAGAATTGTACAAGAAGGAGTGTTTTTTCCACTTAATATTCTTTTCTACATTTATTTTTCTTCCTTTTTTTACATCATATTTTTTTTTTCTAATCAAACAATATACGTGTGCAACATCATACTGGCATCATATTTAAACAATATACATATTTAAAAAATAAAAATAAAAATCACATGATTCAAAAACACACATGAAGAAGAGAGGCTTTCTTTTTCATTTCTTCTAATTTTTTTTTTATAGATATCATCGTGGCATATAATTTCTCTCTCTCTCCCTCTTTTTTTTTTTTTTTTTTGTGTGTGTGGATTTTTCAATGTAAATATGAGGATTTGAGACGAAATAAATTAAAGTGATTTCATACGGATATGAGTTGGTAATGATGAGAGGGGGATACTGCATGAGCCAACTTAAGGCCTACAAAACTCCCAACTAACTCGCTTAAGTTTTTTTCATTTATTTTTGTGGCTTACTATTATATTGCTTCATGTTTCAACTACTCAATCAAGTTTGCACCACAACAGGGAAACATACATCAGCTTCTTCATTATTATAACAAGGAAAATATGGGCTCAATTAGTCAGTTTGTCACCGATATATAGTTAGATGAAAGGTGACTTCAATCCAACTAATAAATTCCATTCATATAACAATGATGCGTGTTCATGAAGAAATAGCATAAAATTAAGAAAAAGTATATTAGTTTGACGGAAATTGATGAAAATTTAATGATTTAGGATTGTGTTAGTAGCATATCTGTATGAATGTCTCTATCTCCTTTATTAATTAATTTATTTATTTATTTCCACAGAGAAACTTTCTTTTTTCTTTTTTCTTTTGAAGTATTCCTATAAAGAAGTTTCTAGAGTTAATTTCTCTTGCCCCCTGAAAATCAAAATATCATAAAACTTACCTCCGCCATTGTATTAAAGTTAAAACTTTGATATTTTCATAGTTAAGGCGTCAAATTTTTCTTCCTAGGTTTTAATTACATGTGTTCATCGAGTGACTTTTATTACTTAATTAAATCATATTTTAATCATGTGTCCATTATATAAGCTAGTGGACACGTGATTGGAATTATTAAAAAAAATCGATGCCTCAACAATGTATATAATAAAGTTACAACTTATAATAATTTTGAGAGAGATCGTTCTATTTTAGATTGTATGATGTAAAGTGAGAAAACCTCTATTTCCTATGGGTCAAATTTAAAATTAACCAAAACATTCTATTCCCGTTTCTAGCTTGATTTAGTATTAGCATGTTACAACTTACAACTTACAAATACAAGCCAAGAAGAAACTTAAAACCACATAAACAAAGCGTACCCAAAATCTGCTCAGATACATACATGGATTCCATTAGTACTTTTTTTACATGATTTATCTTGTTGCTATTATTTCATTGTCACTTTTCTTTATGTGCAGCACACTACAAGAAACCGAAAAATAAAAATCAAATGAGCAAACCCCAGTTAGACCACTTCATGTCAACCTTATAAAAGTACACATATAAACAATATTCTGTGTGATCCACGGTAACGTTCGAATAATTTAGCCCCAAAAAAAAAAAAAAGTGTAATGCTCGAATAAACGCACATGGAGTCACGTAATAATAATAAAAATAATAATAATAATAATAATAACAACAACGTCAACAACGACAATGACTGGAGTCCAATAATAATAATAATAATAGGGAAAATGTACGGTAAAAGATGTACTTTGACCATACCGGTATAGTTCGTAATAAAGACCAATAGATCACAACTCAAAGGCTGCTGGTAAATGAGCTCATTAAGGAGAAAATAAGCTTGGATGTTGGAGGATTAAGACCCAACAAAACAGAGCACAACCTAAACAAGCCCACCTTCACCTCCGGTGCGGCGGCTCCGGCGATTCCTCCGGTTCCTGGGACGACGGCGACGACAAGAAATCACAACAAATCTTCCCTTCTCCAACAAATCTTTCCTTCTCGGGTTCAAAAAATTTCATCCCCATTTTCTACAACTAAACAACCAATTGCTAGAGCTTTTCTTTGTTTTGAACCCAATTGCTGGAGCCTTTTTCCTTGGTCCTAATTTCTATTTCTCTGGTCTGTTGTTGTTGTGTAGTTTGATTTTTTTTTTTTTTTGGCTCTTTCTGAATGAAGTTTAAATTTCACAAAAAAGAAAAAAGAAAAAAACTTGTTCGGCAAATCCCAAAATAATGTTGTCTGCATTTTACAAGAAGCCTTGAAGGAAATGATGATCAAAATGCAAACTTTGGAGAGAACATGCACGATCTTATTGTGCTTACTCACGCGAGGAGTAGCCGAGTCGAAGCGTGCACAACACAACAGAGAGAATCATGAAATTGAGAAGTAAAGCAATCCAACTTTGCATATTAAAAAAAAAAAAAAAAAAAAACCGAAGAAGAAAAAGAAAGGGCTTAAAAATGAAGATTTAAAGCATGGGTTTTTTTTTTTTTTTTTTGAAAGTTTAAAGCAGGGGACTTGAAAAGGGGGGTTTTGCGATGTAGGGGTGTTCTCCGTCACCACCGTGGGGGGACGGTTTGCCGCCGTGCCTCTCGTCGAGTTCTTGTCGGTGCCAACCGGCATCATGGCCATTGGGAATGTCTGGAGAGGAAATGGTTTTTGAATTTGCCTTTTTTCTTTGTTTATTTTTTTCTTTCTTTTTTGATAGAGAGCTGTACTTTGCCCTACCGGTAGAGTGAATGTGTAGAACCCTCAGATTTTAATACGAAGGAGTACTAAATTAAATTAAAACCTCTCACACCCGATTACAAGATTTATTCTTTTTTTTTTTTTTTAAGTAGGATTACAAGATTTGTTCTCAAGAAAAGAAAAAATCAGATCTTAAAAAACCAGATCTTCCCCTATTGTCATATTCCACCACTCGTCGCTGGTGCTTCCATCACCTCCGGTGAGCTCCACCGTCTGCAAATCTAACGGAGGCAAAATATCATAAACGGAGGGTGCTCAGAAGCTCATATCTATTGTGGGTGACATCAATGAAAGTTTTTAGGAGATCAGAGACTTGAAGATTTTAATCCAAAACTTATGCGATACTTTGCCTTTGGTGCCAAGGCAGTACTGAACCCAATGGCCGCTATGTTTTTGTGGCATTGTTGGACAAGAGATGGTGAAAGCTTGCTCCGGAAAGTTTCATCCGTATTTCCAAAACAACATATTTTCACCCAAAACCAAACACCATTGCCAATATCAAAATTAATTTCCGGCGAGGCAAAACCCAGATTCCGGCGAGACAAAACATCAATTTCACAGATTTCAGCCCACCGTTCGCAAAGACCCATCGAGAGGCAAGAGGCGAGAGGCGAGAGGCGAGAGGCGAGAGGCGAGAGGCTCAACAACGGACCCACAGCGGTGCATGGAAGGTCCGAGATTTCTGACGGCGGCGAGGGGGTGGAGCTTGAGGGGCATTGGTCCAGAGTTCAAAAACTCAGATCCACGATGGTGGCACTTCGTGTTCTCAGGTGGGTGTCGAGGATTGGGTTTGTGCTACCATTTGGGAAAATCGCTTGACTGAAGAGAGGAGAGTTCGCCGTTGTGGGGAAGGGAGCGACGAGGGAAGGCGACTTCGCGACGCCGTCGAGGAAGGAGCCGGTTCCGCCGTCATCAGAACTTGGGTCCGTGTCGCCGTCGGGGAGGAAGGTTTGCACTGCCGCTTGAAGTTCTCCGTCGCCGCCGTGGGGTGTTGATACGCCGTCGTGCGTCTTGTTGTTTCATTGGTGTTCAAGAAATGCAGTCAATGAGGAAGAAAGGACCCTTTTTTTCTCATTTAATTCGGGTGCAATCACGTGCAATTTAGCCTCCAAAATTTTGGTGCACAGCTTCAATCTTAACCCTCGAATCTTGATCTAGTGGTTATTACAAATACCCTACCAATAAGGGGAAAGTACATCCCCTGTCATAAATTCTCCCTTTTTTTTTTTTTTTTTTTCCTCTCTCTCTTCTTTGTTGTACATTAAGTTCGTTCGGTTTGCTAATTTGAGTTGAGATGTGACGTTGTGTTAAAATTTTTTATTGTAATAAAAAAATTAAATGTGACTGTTTCTGAGAATTTTTTACTGTAACAAAACTTGAATGAGCGAAATGAACGGGATTTTGTTTGATTGGAGAAATTCCTTGGTCCATTTTCAACGTATATAAAAGTCTAATGTGAACAGTCTTACAACACTAACTTTTGCATTTTGCGAGTTGAATTTGATGGGTCATCGATCATTCGTTAGTCTCATTGGTGGTGTAATCCATGTTCTCCACGTACTTCTCTTAACCACCAAGCAAGAAAACAACGGGGGAACGAGGTGGAGAATCTACTAACGGATATTATTCAATCACTCATCTTAATCAAGTTTTCTATGCGGGATTATATTGCTAAGGTGTTCTGTTTCTGTCTTATCTCAACCTCTCCAAAATAATGGTGCCTTGTGATTTTCGGCATTGAGCCATCATTAAAGGATATAAATCCAAAATATTGGGTGTATTATTCATGTATAATGTCATCATTGCGTTTTTCCATTTTCAATAAATGTGATCTTTACCTATGCCAAAGCTAACTTCTTTTTCCTCTGAAAAAATTACTCTTTTCCTTTTCAAATTTAGATGTATCATAAAACCAATAAATTTGGGACTGATTATTTATTAACCACATATAACCCTAGAGTGAACTCATGACTTACCAATTTTAGTTCAAATTTCATTTGGTTTATACATTATTTTACCCTAATTTAATTTAAATTTACCATCAAACAATCCGTTAAAGAAATTTAACTTTTGGATTTTTTGGCACAAATTTTGTTAGCACCAAAAGCCTACTAGAGTATGAAAATAGCAAGTATGGTAGATTGTTTTAAGTTATTTAAAAGTAGACCACATTAATTTAGGCCAAATATAGTAGATTGTTACAAGTTATTGAATAAGATTTTTTTTTTAATGTTGATTAAGATTTAAAATGATCTCATCTGTTAACTTAGGCCAAATATGGTAGATTGTTACAAGCTATTGAATCAGATTTAAAAATGATCTCATCTGTTAATTCTTTTACACTTCTATTATGCAACAACTGGCGATAAAGAAAATATATATTCTTTTTCCCACAACTCAAATTTTTTTTTTTTACGACTCAATAGCACAAAAAATATATGTACATTCTAGAAGGAAAAAAAAATAATATTACCATCATTCTCTCCATAATGTTCTTTATTCCTCCCAAGCAAGCATTGACAATGCCATCACTTCGGCCCTACATAGGTCACAGTTTCATAATTTCTCCCTCACTTTTTCCTTCCATTTTCCCAATTGAACAACGTGACTGATGGGTGACTTATCACATTCACATTACATAGGCCGAAATACCTATTGTCCAAACGTGGTCCTAACTTTACGCGTCAATAACAATTAATTATAATTAATTAATACAAAAGAAGATCACTCAACAATAATAATAAACTAAAATAGAGTGTTTATCTTATAAGACTTTTCTACGGTAGAATTATGTAAAATTGACGTTTTGTGATACAAAATAAAAATTTAAGTTACAATTCAAGTTTTATTATTACAGTATTTTTTTATAAAAATTTAAATTTAATTTTTTTATTATAATATTTTTCTCTCATATATACAACTCAAATTTTTAACTTAAATTATAAAATAAATATATTTAAAATTTGAAAATTTCTCTGATTTTCTCTGTACTTTTAAAAATATCAGTCTTATTTATTTAACAGTTGTCGAATCTATATTATTTTTTAATTAAATTTAATATAAATTTAATAATTAATAAATAAATAATGCCAATATTCTTAAAAAAGAGAGAACACAAACAAAAAATCCTAAGGCCCTGTTTGTTTCCGTTTTCATTTCTATTTTTCACGTTTTTTGAGACTAAAAAATGAAAACGGAAACAGAAAATGCGTTTGGCCTAAAAATTTTTTAAAAACAAAAACAAAACCGTTTTTGTCTTTTGTAAAAAATTGAAAACGAAAAAAATGTGTTTTCATTTTCTCGTTTTCGTTTTCTGAAAACAGATTTCTTTTTTTTTTTTTCATTTTCTTCTCTCTCTTTTCTGAAACCGTTTTTGTCTTCTATAATGATGTTTATTTAATATATTTATGTAATATATTATTATTTAATATATTTAATAATATTATTTATTTAATATATTATTATTTAAGATATTT